AAATCTCCCCACAAGCCTAATTCAGATCAGCAGCCACTGAAAGTCACTCTGGTGCATTCATTGGTGGAGCTTTGATGGAGTGACTCCATCTGCAAATCTGTTCCTATTGCGTAGGTCTTAGCAGAGGGTCACACCTAGTATGTTTTTGGTCACTATGCAAAGCTAATGAAAAGAGTCTAGGATGGAGAAGAAATATAAAATGGGTGTATTTTGTGCTTGGTACAAGGACAGTTGTATGATCACATCAGCATGAAGAGAAAGCCCACACATGCCATCGGGCCATAGAAGAGCGATGCCAACTACTGGGTGGAAATCTGGGTTCTGTTGGTCCAGTTTTTATGTTTTACTGTTTTGTTAGGAGCTGACTCCATTTTTATATTCTTTTTGCACCTTTCTTGCTTTCCCTTATATTAACTGAATGCTTATTTTGTGTTTCCCTTATCTTAACTTATTTATTATACATTCTCACTATTCTCGTTGTAGTTTCACCAGGGAATAAAACATGCACCTTACTTATTGTATCTTTACATTTTGTTACTTTTACCATTGTCTTAAAACTGCTAGAAACTTGGAACCTCTAACCTCCATGTAACCCCTCCTGGCTTATGTAGTTGTTGGTGGCATTCGTTCTTGTTTTACATATAATTTTAAGTTTATAAGGCATTGCAAGCATATAATTTATATTTACCCACACATTTAACTTCACTGTTCTTACTTCTCTCTTAAATTTTTATTTTTCCATGAGCTTTCCTTTTTCTCACCTTAAACACACACACACACACAAACATAACAAGACTTTTGATACCACATTGCCTCATCTTTGTCCAAAAACATTTTTATTTCATTTTCATTTTTAAAGGATACTGTTCGAGTACAGTATTCTAGGTTGAATCACTTTCTTTCCGGTCCTTAACCTGTGATTCGTTGTTTTCTGGCTTCCAGTGTTACTGGTAAGCAGTCAGCTTTCAAGCTCATTGCCATTTCTTCGAAGGTAATATGTCTTTTCATCTGGATTTTTAAAGGTTTTATTTTTGGGGGCCTTTTGTCTTTGGCATTTTTAATATGATATGCCTTGTGTTTTCTTATTGTTGATGATGGTGTACGTGATTATATTTTGTGTGGTTTGCTGAGCTGATTTAATGTGTATATTGATGCTATTCACGAGTCTTGAAAATTTCTCTTTGACATTGCTTGGCCACATTCTTTGTAGCTCTTCTACTTCAGACACTCCTTTTATGTCTATGTCCATTCTGCTATTTTTATATCTGTTCATTTTTTCTCTTAAATATTTAATCATAGGTATTTTCATCTTTACCTGCTCACTCTCAATCTGGATCATCTGTGAATTTGTTTTATCTTTTGAATTGTGGTAAACTTCCTTGTCTCTTTACATGGATAGTAATTTCTGATTGCATGGTAAACATTGTGTGTTAACAGATTATAGGTGCCGTAGATGGCGTTTTCTACCCAAAAGATTATCACCTTCCTTTGTTAGGAAGCAAAGGCAAGGGGTGATCACGTCAATCCAATCACAAATTGAGCTGTGTTGGAAAACCAGTCTACCTCTGGTTCTCTGATCCTCAGGCTGCACCCTCCTACACTGTTATTGAGAACCTAACAGGTCCCTTAGCATGGAAACATTATAGTAGCTCCAACTCTGTATTTGAGAACCCCACTATCCAGCTGTGTGACCCACTCAGTCTTAAAGCCTGCAAGTTTTTAAGATGAGACTAGTCAGGTGCTTGAGGCTATCATCTCCCTGTTAAATTTCTGCTTCTGAGAGCATCTCTGTCATTGTAGGACATTTCATTCTAGTTTTTATAAGGTTTTGGCCTAAGGCACCACTTACTCATACAGTTGAAGAACTTAACAAACGTCTCTTGGAGAATATGGCCATGCATTTGAGGATTCTCAAGTTTTTAATTTGTGTCTCTAGTCCCATGCACCTGCAAAATATTGTACAGACTTTCTTTCTTCTAGAAGAGGCTCTCTAGACCTACAGAAAAACAGAATTGGCAAATTTCCCCAAGAGAAACAAAGAGCAGCTGGTAATTATCTGTTATTCAGAAAGATTCTCTCCACCCAGAATGGATCATGGTGTGTCTAGTTCTCCATTTTGTCAGAGCTCTGGGATGTTTTAAAAGTATATTTTTGTAATGTATTCCTTTCTTATCAATTTGCAATGGGGAAGCAGTAATCTGCCATGACCTACAGTATCCTATGCTGAAGTAAAAGTTCCTTGTTGTTTTCTTAAATATTGTAGATCAATGTAAAAATCTGTTACTTAAGAAAGATGGTATTTCAAGGGAGTTTTGGCAGAGTAATCCACAGAGAAGGTAGAGGTACCCTTCCATCAATTAAATATTCTCTTATAAAAATAAAATCAGTGACAGCATTTTTCAGAGATTGCTATTATATACTGAATGTGTGCCAAGGAACATATATACAGATATTTGCTATTCATAGAGTACATGAGACTAAAGCTAAATGTAATCAACACAGAATGCACTAGTGGAGAAAATAGAGTGAATTAAATGAACTAAAATACATTAATGGAGGAAACACACAAATTTCACTCAAATTCCATTTAGAAAAAGGAAGGTGGAGCCAGGGATGGGGCAGGGGGGATGGGGAGGAGGGTGTCAATGGGGGTAAAAGGGAGAAACATCTGTAACAAAAATAAAATTAAAAATAAAAATAAAGCCCTGGCCAGTTTGGCTCAGCGGTTAGAGCGTCAGCCTGTGGTCCGGAGAGACCCGGGTTCGGTTCCCGCTAAGGGCACGTACTTCGGTTGCAGTTTGTCCCCGGCCCTGGTTGGTCGTGCGGGTGGCAGCCACTCGATGTGTCCCTTCACGTCGATGTTTCTCTCTCTCTCTCCCTTCCTCTCTCTCCCTCCCACTCTATCTGTACAAAAAATGGAAAAATATCCTCGGGTGAGGATAAAAAATAAAAAATAAGCAAATAAATAAATAAATAAATAAAAATAAATAAAATGAAATGGAAAAAAGAAAAAGGAAGGTAGTATAGGAACCCTGGTCTTTAGCATCCTGGACAACAATTGTTAATTAAATGGTAAGTGCTGCAGAGTAACAGTTGGGAAGGCAGACTCTGGAGCCAGCCTGCCTGGTTCTACCATTCTCCATGTGACTTTGGAAATTTTACTTAACTTCCCTGTGCCTCAATTTCCTCATCACAAAATTCTAGCACTGCTCTAAGGAGTTCTCAGGAGGACTGCATGAATTAACACCTGTGAGGTGCGCAGAAAAGTACCTGGCACATATTTAGCACTCTGGAGTGCTTGTTGAATCAATGATTTTTGTGAATCCCCTCCATCCCTCTCTCATGGCTACTTCTTGGACAGCAGAGGCAATCTGGCTCCCACAAGAGTCTTCCCAGTAGGAGGATGTCTCATTTCCAGGTCATTCTGGTGCAGTCCTGGACATTAGAGAAAACTACCCTTTTAAGTGGGGCATGCTGATTCAACAATTCACTGTATATTGATGCCGGGAGCTTGCGTCGGGAATTGGACAATCACAGTCCTAATTTCCACAGTTGGGTTTTTTTTTTTTTTTCTTGTTGTTTTTAAATTCAATTTGGAGGAACTATTTTTGCTAAAAACCAACTCCCCAAATCTAGTTATGCACCTTAGATATGTGTTTGACCTCCTGGTTTCCGTGTGTTAACGCTATGTCTCAATATTCTGCCCATCAACTCGATTCTAGGCTTTAAAATCTTCTTCCTGGGGCACACAGTAGGCTCAGGTGGCCAGGTGAAGGGTTGGTTTTAAAACTGTCTCGGAACACCGACTACCTGTTGTCACGTGGGAGGAATCCACCTGTGTCCTGCTTTGTTTTTTGTCTTGATGAGGAGGATGGAGCGGCACTGGCACCGAGTACCAGGAGCTGTGGAGGTGGGATGAGCCATCTCGTGTCCTCTGAATTCTCCCGACATTCCCATTCTCATGTTGGCCATGACGAGAATCTCATTTTTTTAAACCAGCCTACTCACTTTACCCTTGACAGGAAAACCAACAAACAAGCAAAATGGTTTCCGCACTATCTAGCTGTCATAGATTCCGGGCTGCTGGCAGAAGCGGCAGCCCACACAATCCAAGTAGCTGGCTGTCCTGCAGTGCCCCAGCTGCGGTCAGGGGCAGGCGCAGTCTCCAGGTGTCTGTAAGGAGGTGGAAGTAGCTGACACAATTGCACATTTTGATGCTCTCGCACAAAAGTCCCTAAAATTTCCATCTCTGCGTTCTGCAGGCTGAGAGCACGCACAGCTGCTGGTGAGCACAGCTTTGATTTACGGCCACACGATAGCGCATGCACTGACACACCAGTCGGGCTGCAGGTGTTCCCAAGCACAGCTACCTGCCTCCACTGAGCTCGTTTGATATTTTAGTGGCTGTCCCTTGGCACACCTAACTCCTGGAAACAGTTTTTATATTAGTGCGGTCCTCTCTTAACACTGAGTAGGAATGGGCCCTCTTGAATAAGGGGTCCATCCGTGGGTTAATGCTTGCAGGTCAGAGTGGTGTCACATAACCATAGACGATGTTGACTAATAACTGTGCATAGACTGAGTGGATCCCAGAATGGGGCGAACCTTGAGAAATCCAAAAACATCAGACAGAATTCCCATTGTAATAAGTTAAATGAAGAGAAAGCAAAAAGTGTTATAAGAATGTATACAATAATAGAGGGCAAAGGGCAAACAGACAGTTAAGTCTTTCTTGGATCGCCGGAGTTGTATCACACGATAACCAGTGTACCTATCCCAAATGTTCCACTGATGTGTTTTGGTTCCACTCATCTTCATTCAGCAGCTCACAGCCGACCCAGTTGGATGTTATTTGTTGAGTGCCTGGAGGTTTTACGGGGAATGAATGACGTCTCTTTTGACCCCAGTCCAGCCCTGTGCTATCCAGGTGTTTCTATTTTACTTCTTGCTCATTCTCAGGACGGATTGGCGTTACTCTTCTCCCCTCATTCCCTCCACAGGTCATCCATCACCTGAGGCTCTCGGAGAATGAAAGCGTGGCCCTGCAGGAACTCCTAGACTGGAGGCGAAAGCTCTGCGAGGAAGGAGCAGACTGGCAGCAGATGCTGGAGCACTCAGAGCCCAGGGCGCCTCCCCCACCTCCTTGCAAGAAGCCCACGCTCCTGAAGAAGCCTGAAGGGGCCCCCTGCAGCAAGCTGCCTTCTGAGTTTTGGGACACTACCATCTGATGTGGTCTGAACCACAGAGGCACGGGATAAAGCTGCCCAGTGATTCCAGGCTGCGTCCACAGAAGGCTGCCTCTGATCCATGCTGGGTGCTCTCTCCACACATTTACACAGAAAAGCACAGGACACAGAAGTAAAATACCCTAGATTCCCGTGTGTGTGTGTGTGTGTGTGTGTATGTGTGAAAGAGAGAGAGAGAGAGTCTGTGTGTGTGTGTGTGTGTGTGTGTGTGTGTGTGTGTTTTCTTACCCATTCCGTGTGGATATACTCCTGTTTTCAGGCTTCATGGTTATAGGGCCATGCTACCTCTATGTAGCAAGAGAAAGGCCATAAACTGTGGATGAGCTGAGAGAGGGAAGAAGGGTGGAGAAAAGGAGGGATCCATGCACATAATACACTTGTTTTTATATAGTCTGACCACATGTTTCTCGTACTCCAATCATTTTACTACAATACTCTCTACAGGACATCTGTTTTTATTTCTTTGTAGTTGTTTGTGTTTTATTGGAATTTCGAACCTGAAAATTATTTACATGTTTCTTACTGTATTTTATAACTTTATGCAATTGGTGGTGCTCCCTTTCTTCAAAACACAGATTTTTAAAAATTATTTCTAGAATTCTTTTTCTTTTACATACCATTTTTTAACCTAAAGTACCTAAGAAGCTTGGGATCCTGTTGTTGTTTTAGCTTTGCCCTGCATATATATATATATGGACCAAGTCCCATGTTTTATATTTCATTCATTGATTAAAAGGCAGGTCCTTCCCATGCCTTGTATTTCTGGATACGTGGGTTGTGAGCTCTTTCGTTAAATCTCATCTCCTGACTTCAGCATAGGTTACAGGAAATTTTGCGTCACTCAGCACGTATGGCTTCAAATTCATGGCTGTGGGGATGAAAGGATCATATTCATTTAAAGGTCTACACAGTACAACTAAGCACGCTGAGATTTACTGGTTCGAGCAGAAATGCTGCATCATGAGACAATTGTCTTCTCCGAACTCCACTGTATGGCTCACCTGCTGTATATCCTCAACCCTCCTGCAATGCAACTGCCTGTTTGTTGATGTGCTTCTGTGGGCTGTCGGGAAGTTCTGAGCGGTCGCATCACACCATCCTATCTTGCTGCTCAGAACTTTTTATTCATCCAGCCTTTGAAAAATTACTGTGCCAATAAAAGGGTACACTTATGTTCTTCTGTGGTTTTATTTATTTGTTGTTGTTGGTATCTTCTTGTTTTTGCTTCCTGATCAGAGCTGTAGGGGCAATGAAGTGATTTTGTTCAGCCAGCCTCCCTTCAGATGCTTTTCTCATAACATTTTTGCAAGCTTCAGGCTCTGGTGGTTTGTTTTGAAATAAAGCTTTATGACTATTTAGATGTAATTATTATGTAGGCATATGTCCATTGTAGGAATAATATAATCTGTTCATGATTTAGGAGTAATAATAGGCACACAGGTCGGGAGAGGACAGTTTGTTGATATTCACAAATCCCATGTCATGCTGGGGGGCGGGGCACAGGGGAGGCACCGGGGTTGATTAGGAGGCAGAGGGAGTGAGGGAACTAGTGGGTTGAAGCTTTTTTCATGGTTTCATGGGGAGGAATGTAGGAGGGAGGTATGCAGGCATGGCATGGACGAGTTGGAATAATTTCAGTAGACACTGAACTTGGTTACCTGGCCCTGGGCACGAGCGTGGCTTGGGGTGGGACAGACCAGTGAAAGGTGTGGTTGGGGTGTGGGATCTGGATTGCTTAGAGTTGTTTACCCTCTCTGGGACTTGGCTAGCCCTGGGAGGGGCAGTTCATCCAGGATGAGCAAGACCCAGATGTCAAAGCCTCAAATACAGAAAATAAAAGACATAGCTGATACAAGACTAACTGGCAAATTACTGTACCATCCAACAATCACAGGGAGTCATTCTGCCCAACCTCCAGCCCACAACCAAGCTCCACACTCTTCTTCTTCTTCCCCTATCTCCCTGACATCTCCCTGACTTCCTAACCTCAGCCACTAAACAACAGAAGAGGCCAATTTTCCTTAATAAAATTTCCTTGGCCATGTCTTGCACACTGTAGGCACTTAGCAACCCTGGATGAGTTAAAAGTTTGAGCTAGATGGCCCTCCCCCAATACATTGTATATTTAGTTAGACCAGGATGAACAGAGACTGTTCAGGCATTACACCTTGTGAGAACTTGTTTCAGCTGTGCACTGATCACTCACGGTGACTGATCTGGGTGCTTTGCACAAATTATTTCTAATACTGACATATGGCTCCATGGTAATTATTATCATCTGTGAATTATCATCCTGAAATCGAAGCTCAGAGCTTTAAGGAGGCTGTCAGAATGCAAACCCTTATCATTATGCTTCCAAATTCCATGACATTTTTAACTTTGTTTACTTATTAGATTGAAATATACCTTTAAAAACTTTAAATTAAATGACCTTTTGGGGGTTACATCTTGTGTGAAACCGATGGCAGCCTATTATAGGGAAAATTTACATGAAGTAAGCAGTTCCAAGCACAGGGGATCCAAAGGACTTTCTATTCCTATTAAGTTGCTCAGATGCTCACAGGTTGGAGCTTGTATAGTCATAAACTGAGCCTGACAATCACTTACTAGAGGTGCCATGAGCATCATGAAATAGTAAATATTTAATCTGTCTAGTAATCACTTTGCCTCCTCTACCATTTGTTGACCTTCTAGAGCTAGAGGACAAACCCCTTGAAGATTTTCTAAAACACAATCTCATAAGTCAGTAAGGTATTTTGCGTTTAGCTGTTTGCTCTCTCCACAGAGGGGTAAGACTTCAGGTGTGCGTCAATCACTAGTTTAGAACCATCTAATGCACCTGTTCTACTTGCATGATAGAAAAATCAGCAGAGACTCAAAAACATTAATAGCATGATGAATAACATTAATAACAGTATGAATAGCCATAATAATATGAGATAAAATCCAAGTCTTTGTATATTAAAGGTACACTCAGAATAGTTCCCTAATGATCACAACATTGTCAAGAAAATAAAGGTACTATTCTGGGAATAAAGCACTGAATGTTATTCCACAAAAGCAATATTTCAACAATTAAGTATATTTGCAATATATTTAATGATGGTATTTTAATTGCTATCAGACCATATGGTATGAGTTATGATATATTATTGGGCCTAAGACCTTGTGTTTAGCAATATAATTGGTATGAATTATTACCCTATGTTCAAACACTGCCCTGTTGCTTTTTTTAAAAAAAATGCTTTATGAGGGGTCTCTAAAAACTATCAAAATATTTATAATGGGTTAAAATGATTTAAAATGTATTTTTAGGGCAGAAAAATATATCATTACTCTTCTTAATAGTGGTATCTAATTTAGTAGAATTATGCTTACATAAATCTACCCAATAAAAGCAACAACCAATTAAAATCTTAGATTTGCAAATAAACTTCACATATGAACATTAAGCAACTTGGACAAAAAGTATATTATGAATTCTATAGTCTAGAAAGATGGGTAACTTTTTGTCGAAATTCTAGTGTTATCAATTTCTAGCCAGACATCAACTCAACTCATATCACAATAAAGGTCATGAGATTATTACATAATAACATTCAAGAACGGAATACATTTCATCCACTGGCTCTTACTCTGCACTGCTAATTTATTTTTTAACTTTTATATGTATATCTTTAGTAAGAAATTAATAAGATTTATTTTAATTTTCATCAGAAAATTTTCAACAAAAATATTCCTAAATTAGCTGAGGAAATAAACAACAACTTTGCTCCAAGTAAAAGTTTAGTTAGCGTAATTTCATTACATTTTTTAAATTGTTTTTAGCTGCATACAAAAATTCATGTTATGAAGAAGATGAAAACAATTATATTTCTATGTATTCTGCAGCGTTAAATTCTCTACAATGTTCATATTTTTTCAAAACAACAGTTTTCAAAAAATTAAAACTATATTCTTCACCTCCATAGTACTTCCTTTACATCTTATTCATGAAAAATAACTTTATCAAACAAATTCTACTACAATGTTCTACCAATGTGAGTTACAAAGATACCCATATAGCAAAGGGTTGTAGCATGCTGAGTTACAGACTGAAAAGAATTACCTTTGTAGTTTTTTACTTTACCTAAGTACTGCAAACCCCTGGGCTGTTTTATTATTATGGTTTCAGTAAATTTCTCTAAAATCCAGGATGCTTTGTAAAACTTTAAAGATGACTTTTTCAAAGGCTCAGTCCTATTAGATGCCTATAATATATCTCAATTACTTATTCTAATTTCTCAGATTACTTTTCAGGTTAAAAAAAATCTATACCTAAAATATCATTTTTGTTTGCTTTGACATCAGCACAATATAATATGAGTTTTATTTAGTTTAACATATTTTAATGGCAGAAAAAGTCTTGACTTCTCATGAGAAAATTTTAAAGGTGTATAAATCTATGCATTCATTTCAATTGTTGTTTTATAAGAGGAATGCATCAAATGTGTCTTTTTTATCCTTTGAATGAGTTTTCCACAGACATCATGGTATATCTGCTAGCTTGCCTTTTCCTATAGCCCCAGGGAACATATGCCTCTTCAAAGGAAGGCTGTGAGCTTACCCAGATGATATTTTCCTGATGTCACCACTTAGTTTCTAAAGTCTAAAGAAAATGAAAGAGAATGAAACTATTGATAAATTCCAAGGGGAAGATCAAAGCTCTAAAGAAAAATGGAATAAAACCAAATTCAATCTGAGGTTTTGATCTCTTAAGATTTCAGCAAACAAAGGGGCTGGAGGTCTGTGTTCTAAAACAATTGGTTGAAGAGTATATAAATTCTGTCACATTCTGAAGAGAGTTTCTCTAACTGAACCTATTTTTTGGGATCTATTAAACTGAATTCAATGACACTTGTTCTTGTGTTATAACAGAAAGAGCAGGTTCACCTAACAGAGTCCCTATTATTTATTGTTCATTGACATTGTTAAATAAAATA